GAAGTAGAGTTTAGGCGATTGCTCGCTTCGTCGTAAGCATCAGACCGGCGTCCCATCCCACCACGCGCAATAAAGGCGTGTATAGGAGTTTTTTCCGGTCTGCTGCAAACAACGATGCGAGAAATCTGAGTTTAGAGAGTTCGTACCTTCGCGGGGTTGTCGTGGTTGACACGTGGATCCGGGGGTCACTCGCCTACCTCATCGTAGATGTCGCACCGGGTTCCCCTCCCATCACGCGCAATAAAGGCGTGTATAGGCGGTCTACCGGTCCGACACATATATCGAGGTAAGAGAGTGGAGGGGATTTTTGCATTTTTTATTAATTATAATTAATGTTAATTAAATAAGATTAATTAAATAATCCTTTTTTAATTAATCATTTTTAATTAATTATAGTTAATTAAAATTATTAAAGTTAATTAATATAATAAGTTATAATTAATTTTAACTTAAGTAACATTAATTAATCCTAATAAAATATAATTAATTAACATTAATTAATAATAATTAATTTATGAACTTTGATTAACTAAAAATAATAATTGTAATTAATTATATTTAATTAATATAATTATATTAAGTAAAAAAAAACTAACTAATCCCTTAGCTCGGCAGATTCAAGGGATTTGACCGTGGAAGCTCGCGTGAAGGGAGAAAGTTACCTTCACTGCCGAGCAGCTCCCGTTGTGGCTTCCGATTCAAAATGTCGCAACTCCCAATCCGACAGTAAGGGAAAGTCGGTCGGGGGAGCTAAGTCGAACAGCCGAGAAGAGGCCGAAGAAGCGACTAAAGGGAGAAGGTAACTTCACAGCCGGCGGGTCCTGTTCTTGCTTCCGATCATATTGTCGCAACTTCCGATCCAGGCAGGAAGGAAAGTCGGAGAGGAGCGAAGTCTTCGATCACGAAGGATCGGAAGAAGCAAGGGGGCTTGGGCAGGGCTCTGGCTTCTGGATCGGATCGGCTCTAGCGTCGGACTGGAGTCGGAGGAGGGAGTCCGGCGGGCACCCGTGAGTGAGGTAAGGATTTGATCTCTCTCTCTCCCTCTCTCTCTCTCTATGAGATCGGGACTTTGGTCGGGACAGAGAAGGTCGGGAGGAACGAATGGAGGAAGCAGAGGGATCGGAGGGAGAGCGAGAGCGGAACGAGCAGTCGGAGAGGGTTTGTGTGGGATTTTTTTGAATGGGAAGAGCTATAACCGGGGCCGGTATTTAACGAAGAGGATGGAGCTACGGATCGCAGACTTCACGCAGGAGTTCCGGGAAATGACGCAAACGGCGCCGATTTCAGCCGAATTCGCGGCAGAGTTTGTGGATCCGCCGAACATAAGGTATGTACGCAGGATTTCTAATTTCTTCCCTTCTTGCTCTTTATACAGAGGTTAACAACCATGCACAACCTCTCCTTCCCCCCCTCTTCATAGACGCCGACCACTTCCTTGTTCCCATGGCCAAGACCATCATGACCCCCTCTTCCCTTTCCCACCAAAATTTCAAATTGATCCTAACATTTTCCTAAATTAGCATATTGTTAATTTCAAAAAATCAGAAATTCAAATTTGAAATCTCCTAAAGCCTTGAAATCCTTTCCCAAATTGTTGGGTTATGTTTAGAAAGATATCCCAATCAATCAATTTGAATATTAATTGGAGATCCCAATTAATTCTCCTTCGTAAATTAGCCTAGTGTTAATTTTGGAATATGATTATAATTCCATTGTTTCATCATCTTGGGTTATTGTGAAACTTGTTTTATTGAATCAGTGGAGGTAGTTGACGCAAACCAATTGGAGTATTCATGTTAATAAGTATAATTTGCATAGTCTAAGATGACTTTGTAGATTTGGAATAGATGTTTGTCTAAGAGGCTAATTTTAAGATGACTGCAAAAAAGCAGAAAAGTAGAAAAACTACTTTGCATTTTACATCTTATTTTATGTGTATATATTGGAGGTGTTTGTAGGCTCCTCCAAGGATCTTATATATGGAGAAAAGTAAATATAATTTACACAAAAATAAATACAAATGCTAATAAGGGGGCTAGTGGTTAGGTGAAGAGAGAGAAACACACAGATTGCAATCCAAGGGTTAATATGGAGAAGATCCAATGGCTAAGCTCCTCATTGTGTGTGCTCAATAGACGATACCATGATTGCTTGCATAGTGGGACCCACGACTCTTCTTGGGTGGGTGAAGGAAGGGGGTCCTACAATGTGGAATCCCATGGGTTTCAACACTCATATTGGGTGGTATAAATCTATTATTCCTAGTTTGCTTTCAATATTTTTAAATGTGGGGTTGCGTAGTCCTTTGGCGAATATTGGCAAGTTACTTCCTTGTAAGTACATGTAGAGAACAAATCAAGAAGTAGTTTCTTTTTTATGAAATGTCTATCTACCTCTACATGCTTGATACAATCATGTTGTTTTGGATAATGGGCAATGTTAAGGGCAGATTTACACCTCCATATTGGTGCTACAATTAATACTAGTGAGTGTGACAAGAGGGGGGACTGATTGAGACAACGATGTGTGTAGCGGGCACTAAATGCCTCCCTGTTGCACGTAATCACTCAAACATTATATGTTTGAAAAAAGGAGTGTATTGATATGTTCAAAATATCAAATCTATCAAAGAATGGATCACTCGCATGCAAAATGATCAAACGATTGTTGGTGGGTGCAACACTGTGCAAATTTGCCTGAACTTCATTCGATTGTGAAACATGTTGCATCCTCGAAACATCAAATTTATCGAAAGAATGACCCCTCTGATCAATTCGAGAAAAAGGCGATCGAAGACGATGATATACATATGCAACATTATGCGAAGTCACCCAAATATCGCTTGTTCGTGAAATGGACTTCACCGTTGCATCTGAAACATAAAAAGTACTTGGCAATGATAATAATATTACCCAATGATAATAATATTACCCGGACTGCCAGAATTGATAACATTAAAACTGATACATATGAAGAACAAGAAAATTGCATGAGGGTCGACTCATAATTTGTTTTACATTATTTTAATCAAATTTGTAAAAATAGGTTTTATATATATATATATCTTATCCTCAGTATAGCTTGCAAATTCAGCATGTCTCAACCCCCTTGTCTTATACCTTCAGTGTAGTGGGAATAAAAAAAAGGACAAAAAATATTGCCTAAACTAAACCAATACATTCTAAATCTCTCCATCTCACTCTTGTTTCACCCTGAGCCTCACTTGTGACACTCCCTCACAGCATCTCTCACTCCCGCACAAACCACTCCAAGCCCTTTGCTATACTGACCAACATTTTTTCTCTTTTGCAGACCGACACCCCAAAGTTTTCTTCTTTCATATACAATCTAATAAAAACATCAATTTTCATAGTTTCGTTAATTTCTTACTTAATAAGTGAGGCATGCCCTGATATCCTTATTCCGGCTAGCTATTCTTATATATATATATATATATATATATATATATATAGATATATATAAAATTTTCCATTGTTTTATTTGCTGCTTGCAGTTGCTTTCAGGTGGAAACCATGACTTTGATGTAGATGATCTGAGAAGCAACACTAGATATACTGGTGGTTATTCTGAGGGAAGCCGAACAGTTAAAATATTCTGGGAGGTATCTGTTATAAATTTGCATTTTTAAATAAACCCTTCACAAATTTTGTACTTTCATTTGACATTCATCTTATTATAATGTAATTTTGGTAATCTATGGCTTTATATTCCCAATTTTGCATATAATTGTATCACATTTTAAGTTTGGGTTTATTTGGTGTAGCTTTTTCATTGCTTTGCTTTTTATACCACAATCGCAGTTCTGTTTGGCTACTACTTTTTTAATCCTTTTAAAAAATTTCTATGGTGTGAAGTTACTTTTTACAATGAGATTTGCTGAACTATGATAGTTGTAAAAAAGTTATTAGAAATTTTATAATACCCACAATTGTTTAAAAAAAGTTACTTTGCCCACAACAACTCTAGAATTACATTTACAAGAAGTTGTTTCCACCCTAATGAACCCTTAGTTTCCTGTAGCTTCCTTTTATGTTTATAAAAGGCTAATCAAAATATTTGCAAAGTTAGTTAGTCATCTTTTTTTTTTTCTTCTTTTAAATAAGAGTTTGGATATATTCTTAAGTATATGGTTTGCTGGGTGTGCTTTAATGAAACCTTTGAATCTGCTAGGGGCAGCTATAACTTTTTATAGAAATAGTTGTATAGTGTTGTGGTGAAGCAGTTTTTTTATAGCTATTATGGGCATTATAAATATTGTTCTTTTTTAAAAAAATGTACAATGACTTTCTTATAGCTATTACAATAGTTCATCTATTTATAAAAATAGCTCCCTATCGTAGAATTTTCTGAAAAGCATTAAGAAAACGATAGCCAAATGAAAATGTGACAGTGGTCTGAAAATAAAATAGTGAAAATATGCTCCAAATAGGCCCTTAGTTTAGATGTGGATTAAAAAAATTCAAGCAGTTCTGATTGGTCTTACCTAACTTTCTCCACCGAACATGTTGATTTATGGATACATGTGATACAATTATTCTTTTTTTTTCCTTACACTTTTTATCGCTTATGTTCCCAGCTACATTTTTCTCATTATCCTATTTTTAATTTAGCTGCTAATTTGAAATCATTAAGATTTACATCTAATAGTCCCTGTTCTTTTTTGTTTCTATATATTCCAATAATTTAACTTATTCCCCTATTTCCTGTTTCACGCGCATAGATCTTCAAATTATGCAGATCTGTAGAGGTTAGGGATTACATTACTAAATGTATCGAGAGTTTATAAAACATACATATAGAATAAAGCTAGACGCGGCTTAGAGGGTTGAGCATTGCTCCTTTGAAGTATGCACAGTTTTTTAAAAGTGATATGTGCTAACCTACGTTGACATGTTTCCTGCACATTGCAATTATGTTGTATTCCCCAAGAGCTTAATACTAATTTAAAGTGCTTCAGATGAAGTTTTATGAAAACAAGACCTCTTGATGGTAATCACATGCTTTTATTGTCACTGAGATTTACCTCTTTGAATACATGTCGACCTGATTTCTGGAGTTGTTTTTTACAATGTCTATGAGATTTGAAGTATATGCAAATTTTTAAAAGTGACGTGCTAACCTACATTGACATGGTTTCTGGACATTGCAATTATGTTGAATTCCCCAAGAGTTTAATACATATTTAAAGAACTCCAGATGAAGTTTTATGAAAACAAGACCTCTTGATGGTAATCACGTACTTTAATGATCACTGAGATGAGTTTTTTTGTTACAATGTCTGTTAGATTTGAGAAGATTGAAAGATACTTTGATTGAAATACTAGTCCAAAGAACTTCGGATGAAGTTATGTAAACAAGCTCTCTCAGCCAGCTAATCATTGCTTGGATTATCCTCTTTGAATCTGTATGTTAGCCTGATTTCCGGAACTGTTTGTTACGATATCTATGAGATTGGAGAGGAATGAAATTCACTTTTGCACCAAATTCCCTTCGAAGTCCATGCGATCATTGCTAGTTTATGGCTTTTAATTGACAGCACTGTCTGAGTAGTCTACATGAACAATTGAATACCCTACCTGAAGATATACATTGGGAACTGTAGCGTAATAAAGTTTCTTATAACTGTCATGTTATCCTGTCCAAACAGTCTCAAAGGATGTTTCTGCTTGCGCCATCTTCCATTGGTGAGCTATCAAAATTCAGCATAACCCAGCCAGCTGGTTGGGGTGCATAAGATTATCAACTTTGAATGGCTAAATGTCATAGGCAGTCCACTAAGATGACATGCTTGCATTTAGACAGTTGATGGGACTTCATTGCTTTTGCTATAACTTGTAAAATATTGTATGGGCATAGATTTTTGCGGTCTTGGAAACATTTCCTACGATGCTCCCAAAAGTTCCATAGGAAGCACGCACAAATAGACCAATGGACGTGTACCGGGTTTTTGCAAATAGGTTGCTTAGATGCTTTATCTTTACTCACTTGGGCTGGAAGCCTTGGAAACTCAGGCACAGTATCTAAAAATGGCAAACAGTGCTGTAGAAATTAAAGTGAAACAGTGTGCTATTCAGCCCTATCTGTGCGCTATCTTGCTTTATTCCTTTTTTTTTTTTAAACGAGACATCGCACATTTTATAATTCAGATCAAGTTGATTGTCCTTGCCAACATACAGAATCGTGTTTGCTACTTTTCTGGTATATTTTTGAGCCAGTTAACGATATTACTTTACGAGGGTTTTCAACATTTGGACAATCGTCAGTTAAACACCTAGTAAGAGGAATAAATTATATTCATTTTCAATCTCTCCCCATTAGTCTCTCACTTAAATTCTTGCACCATTTTATTTTGAGGAAAATTGTAAATAACTACCCATACTTTACCCTCCTTTTATATAAAGAACAACTGTTAGTTTGTGTTAAACTTTCTTGAATTTATTAAATTTTACAAACTCTCCCCATGAGTAATATGAAATTAAATTAAATATTAACCACAAGGAGCTATACAAGAAGTAAGCAGGTTAAATTTTAGTTACTAAGAGTTAAAAGAGGTTTGATGCATACCTTTGGGGAGACTTGATATAATTAATTAACATGAAATCTCTACTTGCTTAGCAAATTTAATATCGGAGGGACCATTTTGAATCAATTTTGTATATCAGAGACTAAATTAGAGCAATGTGATACCTTCAGATTAAATTGACCACATACAAGTAGTCTGGAGACTATTTTGATAAATTTTCCTAAATTTTCTTTTTATTTAGCATGATTTCTTTATTTTCCTGTCTTCATCATGCAGGTTGTCAGAGGTTTCATGCCTAGTGAAAGATGCCTCCTCCTTAAGTTTGTGACAAGCTGTTCAAGATCTCCACTACTTGGATTCCAGCACCTGCAGCCTTCTTTTACAATTCATAAGGTATTATACTTTAGTTTATCTTGGCATGCGTTAGCTACATTTCTAAAAAGGAGAAGTGCATGGAAGTTTTTCCTCTTCACTGTTGGACTTGACTGCATATTATTTTTCTTATGCTTTTTTTTTGTTTGATGCTAGGGATGGCTGGTAGCTACAACTTAAAACTTTTTTTGAAAGATAGTCTTTGTTGCTGTGTACTTCATGGAGATAAAATACTTGAGACAATAAACAACAAAGCATAGGAAATTCCTATAATGTGGTCATGCATAGGAACTGCTTTACTTAGCCTACATTTAGTCGAATTGATGTCAAGATTGAAGCTTTTCTTGAAACATTGCCGTCTAAATTTATAGATGGAAAAACAAAGTGGTGGTATTTGATAGTACCCGTCTTGTGATGGCGGTTGGAAATTAAAACAAGGTCTACTCGATGTATGAGACTACTACCAATTTATGATATAGGGAAGGTTTTATATGTCAGTCTTAGTCCTACAATGTATTGGGGTTGTTTCCATGATTTGAAGCTGTGACTTCCAGGGGGCAACCTAGCCATCACTTTAGGTCGGCTCCTCATGAAAATGAGTGTTTATCAAAACAATTATTTATCTTCTAAGTTCTCTAATAGCCTAAATTAATTTGTTTACCCATACATGTTTGTACCCCCTTGTACATTTTTTGCTTTTAATTTAGTAATGCAACTCTTCTAGGATGACATCATGCAACTCGTCTAGGATGACATCTCTATCAATTTCATTTGTCAATCATCTTTCATATCTCCACTCGCCATTTGACATATCTCATACTCGATTAATCTTGTTTGCATATTTTCTTACTTTGACATTGTCATGTTGCTCTTGAAGGCATTTGAATTCCTTATGCCCATTCATGATTAGATCCTCTTTAGCTACCCCCTCATCGGTTTCCCCTCCTATTGATCTTGTTGTGGCACCGGTTGTTCTCCTTGTTGGGGTTTATGATCCTCTTCGCTGCCATCTATTTTGGTAGATTTGATGCCCCGAAGTTTCCATCTTCCATTCTTGGGTTTCCTCCTGTTTTTACTGTTACATGAATCCCTTATTCTTCTATTGGTGGGAAGGATGAATCTCTATTCTTTCAACAAGATTCATATTCATATCAATACAAGCTACCCACAATATTTCAATATAAACCTGTGCTCCTTTACTCAAGTACCAGGATTCCTAAGTTTTTTACTCCAATTTTCTTCTTTAGTGGAAAAGTTTCCTGCGTTCAACCTAAATCCCAATCTTGAGATTATTTGCAAATTTATGTTTGATAGGTGATACTTGGTCGGCTGCTCAACCTGGGTCATGTGCTTAGCAATTTTCTTTGGAAGCAGATTACTTAAAGACTTTTCTCATATAGATCCTTCTATTTAAATGGCTTTTGGTTGCATCTGATTAAATGGTCATTACACTTTCTTTCAAGGAACAAACTACATCTTCGGTTTGGGTTGTTTTTTCTTTGGCTTTATGTTCATTTCTTTAAGTAATCCACTTTACGTTCTCTTTGTTCTATTTTTGGTATAGTTTTGAAAGTGGATGCTACTATTGCTAGGGTTTTTAGATTGTATATGGCTAGGGCTTTGGTTGAAATGGATATTGCAACTCTTTTGGAGAAGTTGATTTGGATTTGTTCCTCTACTAGTGGTTGTTGGCAGAAGTTGAATATGAGGGCATACCTTCTTATTATTCATCATATAAAATTTTGTCATAAAATCTTCAAGGCTCTCAACAATCAGGATAATTAGGATTGTACAAATGATCAGAGTCTTGATACATACAAACTTGGCGAATAATATTACCTTACTTCGGATCTGCATTGCAATCAAAATGTGCTGCCATCTTTAGATCTTGTGACGGAATTAGTGTTGTCCTATGCTTCTGATGCATCTAGTAAATGTGTCAACTGTATATGCTTCCTCTTCAAGCAATAAACTTGACTTTTTACCAATGAACAGTGATATCACAAAATCCACATGATCATTATGCTGTTTTGTTTTCTAGTGATCGATAATTTGAGCAAGCACATGCTGTTGAAAGTAGTTTTCCTAGTATTGAAACACAAGTGAACATAATGCTTCAAGTGTTTTTTTCAAGAGGGGCAGGAATAGAATTCAAGCATTACTTCATTTATCAAGATTTATTAGATTTCAAACAAGGTGCAATGACTCTTCAAATGACTTTGATATTCTTGATTTTTGAAGAGTTATTGAAGCTATTCTTCAGTTGAAGATGGATACTCTCTTCTTTGCTCTCTTAGTATAACTTGTTTTGTGGTTTGCTTTATATCTTTTATGCTGGCTGTTTGATAGGAAACACTTGTAGATCTCAAGTTTTTCCTATCAATCTTCAAAAAACAGCGAGATTTCTCCACAAAAATCCTCACAAAACCACGAAAACAGTAGATAATTTGTATTATTTGATGAAAAGGAAGCGGAAAATACCAAGATACAATTTATTCTCTATTCAAGAGGAGGATTGATCTCTCCCAATCTCTAGACGCCGCTAAATCCCAAAGGAAAACCTAAATCTAGGAGATCTCAAATTTCAGCCAAATTCAAGATGCCCTAACCCTAGGAAAACAAATTATTTAATGCATACAATCAAAAAGGAAATCTCTAAACAATCCCCACATTCAAATGTCCCTCATAACTCCCTAAGAAATCCTTCCAAATTGGCTCTGTGAAGGGCGAGCGGTTGGCTCCTGCGTACAGGAGGCAGAGATTTTGTCCGCCTATTCTCGTAAGTCGATCGGGACCAACTGGACCAGTCTAACAATACTCCCCTCCCAAAGATCCACCTTGTCCGCAAGGTGGAAAGACAACTCCTTCCTCCATTCCCTCATCATCATAAACGATAAAGACCTGAATAGTTCAGTCCTAATACCTATGCCCTGGAGTATACTTCTGGTCACATCTGAAACAGAGCCCCTTCATCCTCTTCTCATGTAATTCTGTTTCTGTGAGCTTCTTGATATTGTCCCCAGGTCTTGCTCCTGCAGTTTTTTTCCTTTGAAGCCCCCAAAAAAATATCTGGTGTTGGCTCCTTGGATGCCAATAATGTGGTGGTCATCCTTTACGAGCCTCCTAAGTTGCTACCTCCCGTCTCTCTCTCCAGGTGTCTCTAATCCTCTACCAACTGATCTAGCTCCATGGCCTCTCTCAAGTCACAAGGCCTCATCACTCTAACTGCTGCACGGATCTTCTGGTGTCAGTCCCTTCATAAAATTTTCCTCTAGCACTGTCTCAGGAAGACGGTCTAATCAGCTAGCAAGGTGCTCGAATCTCTCCCGATATTCCTTCACTGAACCATCATGTGTCAAGGCGAATAACTGCTCGTAGAAGTCTCCTCCCCTGCTAGTTCGAAAACGTTATACTAAACAATCCTTGAACTCACTCCAACTCCGTATGGATAGTCGCATGTCCCTTCACTAGTACCAAGCCAAAGCCTTCCCTTCCAAACATAGGTCAGCTGCTGTCAGTCTCTCTTCCTCCGTCAACCTGTTGACAGTAAAGTATCTTTCCACCCTGTAGATCCACCCAAGTGGAACTTCTCCCTAAAAAATAGGCATCTTTAATTTTCTCACTCTCAATTCTCCTCCGTCGACTCTGTTTCCTCCAAAATTTCCCATTCCGCAAGGGGGTGGTTCCCCCCAATCGTGTCAATCATCTCTTCTCTGCTCGCACCCAAACCTTTCACCACAAGCCCACCTTCTCCCTTCAAATTCAGCACTCCTTCGATCATATTCAACCCCTACCCTTTTAAATTCGACACCTCTTCGATCATAATCAAGTTATCGACTTTCGAATTCAGCCCCTCTTCGTTCAAATTCAACATCCCTCCACTCATGCCTCACCCCCTCACGTCCTCCACAAACCCTTTACCTGCTCCTCCCTATGAAGCCTTAGGGGAGGCATTGTTTATGTTCCCTCCAAAATCTCCACCTCTTGATCTTCCATTCGTTTGATCGGCTTAGGATTTTCCTCACTTCCTTTGCTATCGACGCCATCCCTAACCTCCGACGGCAATATTTTGGTTTGGCCCTCAAGCACTTTCTTCAACATTTCCTCAAAGATGGAAAATTTTGAATCGAATTTATCATGGATGGCGGAGATATCCTTTTTTATATCTGAAACTTGAGTTTGGAGATCCGAAATTTCAGATGTCATTTGTCCGATCTCTCCTTCCAATACTTCTACCTTTCTTCCAGGCATGAGAACCTGAATTTAGGTTCCAATAGAAAAGATCAACAAGCTTCATGCGAATATGGCCTCCCAACAGCAAAAACAACAAGATCGGAGACGAAAACGCAACAGAAATCAGCAAGGAAGACTTTTATTTCAGCCTAGAAAATTGCTCTGATACCAATTTTGTAGAAAACACTTGTAGATCTCAAGTTTTTCCTATCAATCTTCGGAAAACAACGAGATTTCCCACAAAAATCTACACAAAACCATGAAAACAGTAGATAATCTAGGAGATCGGATCCTTAACCCTAGGAAAACTAACTATTTAATGCATACAATAAAAAAGGAAATCTCTAAACAGTCCCTACATTCAAATTTCCCTCATAACTCTCTAAGAAATCCTTCCAAATCGGCTCTGTGAAGAGCGGGCGGTTGGCTCCTGCGTATAGGAGGGGACCGGCTGGACCGGTCTAACACTGTTCTATGTAATTGATCTTTTGTACCCATTTAAAAGATTGCTTATAAAATTTGCTTAATTAAAAAAAAAAGTTAACTATGAATTTATGAGTAGGTGCCTTTATTTTTTTTGCTTGGACTAGGTTTTGAGCTGTGGTCGATCCATATACAGTAGATGTTAGAATTCTTGAAATCAAGAACCTGATTTGATGTAGTTTTGTTATACAACCCTATGTAGATTCCAGGAGCTAATTTTAGATTGACGTCAGCTCTATTTATTGCCTTCTTGATTGTTGTCCCCGCCCCTTTACATCTTCTAAAATTGGTCCCTTATTTCAAGGAGTAATAATGATGCGGATATCCGACGATATTCAAAGGAAGAGTCGAAGATCGACGGCCGAGATCGCTCCATTTTATTTTAGTTTATTAATTGTATTTTGATTTAATTTTGCATTTTTCTTTTTTACTTTTTTTATTTAAGAGTCTTCTCTTATGTAAGCCCAAGGGGCAAATGTCTTTTAGTTTCTTTTGAGGCCTATATATAGAAGCCCATTCTCTTGTATTAGGTATGATGGAATTATAATAAAAATTTGTGTTCTGCACTTGTGTTCTTTTGGGATGACGTTAGTGAGATTCCTATGGGAAGGATTCGAAGTTTTCACCAGCCGCAGGATGGGTTCGGACTTGTGGCTTGAAGTCCCTTAGAGAAGGGTAACTTATCACCCGTCAGTCTTCGGAAGAGTCCAAGGCTCGCGGTTTTATCTTTTATCTTTTTGTTTCTTTGTTTTTTGTTCCCTCTTGTTGTTCCTATTCGCCTTCTCCATCCTCTCCCTACTTCCACCAAATCAGCCTTAGCTCCACCTCTAGCCCTTCCCCAACCGAACCCAAGTCCACCAGCCATCCTTAGCCGCCGGCCACCATAACTTCCCAACCTTGAATTCCAATTCAAATTGCCACCTAATTACTTTCCTAAAACATCCAAGCATAGGTTAGGAAAGTTTTTTATTTTGAATTCAAAATTATTTGAATTTCAAAAATTTCTTTCCTATTCCTTAAACCTAATTTAGGAAACCTCCTTAATTCTCTTTAAATCTGAAATTAAATTCAGATTTAATTCCTTAATTGCATTAATTGCTTGACCCCACAATTAATCCACCCGGACCCCTTTCCCTCTTCCCATAGCCAGCCCCTTCCTACCCGCAGCCCTTTCCCCCTCTTGCTCTTGATTGAAGCCTACTTTCCTTTTCCATACGACCTCATTTGGGAATCTTTGATATTATTTATTCAATTCAATTTGAATTTTGAATGAATTCCTAAAATAGATTGATCTATTTTAGGAAAGTCTTTAAATCAAAACCCAATTAATTCCCTCCACTTATGGCCGGCCCCTCCCATTTCCATATTCCCTCTCCAATTAATTTCCCTCTATTAATTAATTCTCTAATTGGATATCCCATTATGGGAATTAATTAATTCAAATTTCAAATTTCCCCCACCCCCATCCCCCGTTCTACATCAAATAACCATCCAATTTTGAGCGAGCTTTTTGTCTTGTCTCTTGATTTTGCCCAGAATGTCCACAATTATGCTTAGTTCTAATTCAATTAAGTAGTATGTACTTTCAACTTAGTAACTACTGATCAATCTTTTAAGCATAGTTCATTTCTATTTTTCATTTGTTGAAGTGCTGTTCCCTTGCTGGATATTTGTTGAAAAACATTCTAGTGAGGGACATGTAATCGCTTCCGTTTCCTGAGTATGAGGAACTGAGAAACTTATATTTACTGCTTTTGTTCAGCTGGTCATGATGTTTTTGGAAGGCGACTGGCATGTGTCATTTGATGCGCGACTGCATCTAGCACCAGTGCTTGCATTAGAGGAAAGCAATGCATGAATACTTGATATATATGTAGAATCTGGGTGGGCTCCACCAGTGCTGGCATTTGCATGAATGCTTGATATATATATGTACAATCTGGGTGGGCTCCCAACCCAGACCATAATGCTATGGAAGAAGATAGTTTATTTTGTATTTGGTTTCTATGTCATGTCTGCCTGCATGCATGACATACTGACAAACACTAATGCCTAGAAACTTTCTGCAGTGTGACTTGGATGTTATGTGAAATTCATAAATGTTGAAGGGGGATGCCGCCCGACCCTTGTGGTGACTTTCCTTCTTGTTTCCATTGTTTGTGTTGAGTTCGGTAGACAGTAACAGTATTTTATATTTGTTTGGTCCAGCTTTTCTTTACATCAATAATGATTGCAAGTATTTTTTTCACCATTAATGGGAAAAAAGATTCATCAAATGATACGAACTAGTCGGTATAAGATAATGTTTATTTTCTATTTACACTTTTACAAACGAGGATTTGAGAGGAATAAGAGGGAAAAGTTTGAATTTTATTATACACTACAATACCTATTTATAGATCTATACAAGATGTTTAATAAGGAAATAAATAACTATATAATAATGAAATATAATTCTTTCTAAATCAGCTGCAAATCTATGAAAGGTGTTCAACGTGATTAAGGCGGGCTTCCCACGAATCCTTCCTTTTAGCCGTGGGATTAACATGAGAATGAGAGGTTGAGATTTAACATACTTGATCACTTGTTGGCCTTTTTCCTTATTATTTATTGGGTGAATCTAATGTGTGCTATTTTATTTCTACTTGACTTTGGGATTCAAACTTAAATTTGTTTGTTTATGGATTTGCTTCAGCTTTGCAGACCTTGAGTGAGTATTTTTTTTCCTTTTTTGGATTAGTATTTTGAAAGTTGATCTGGATTTGTGATCTAGGTTGCTGGTGACGTTCCTATTTGGGCCACAATTGGAGGGCATGATGTGGACCGCCTTCCATCTGCTTCCACTTGCTACAACACATTAAAGGTATTAATCAATGTAGTTGTGCCCATATTTTTTGTTTGTGCTACAACATTTGTTAAATGTAGTAGCATATATATTAGTAGTTAAAATTGAAAGAATTGGTATAATTGAAGAGGGTTGAATTGGGTCGTTCAAAATACAACCATAAACTTTCAAAATCAAAGTGTTTCACCTAACAAGCAATGCTAGAAATCCAAAAATTAGAATATTTTATAGCGATTCTACTAGACCCTAGCCTACATCCACTCTTCCAGTTCTCTTAGGTTCCACAAAATTATTCAACATAACTCTGACAGAGAAGCTTTAAAAACCAGCCATTTGCAACCGAGGAGAATTTTGATATGCTGGGGCCTACAGCCAGTAAGGGGGAACTATCTAGAAAGTTTCCTAATCAAGAGAGAGTTGTTTAAGAAAGTTCCTAATTAATGAAAATTATTTAGTAAGGTTTCTAAGTAAGGGGGAGTTGTTTAGAAAAGTTTCATAATTGTGTTTATACTATTTAGGAAGTGTTCAGTTGTTTATGAAGGTTTCTTAAAATATGTTTAATTGTTTAAAAAAGTTTCCTAAATCCTACGTTTAATTAGTTAGAAAGGTTTCCTAAATTATGTTTGCTGATTAATAAGGCTCTGATTGTGTTATTGTATTTTAGGGCTATTTAATGGGGAGTTTGTCAATGGTTTATGGTATGATATATTGCTGAGTTTATTTTCCTAGTGCTTGTGGTGAGTTCCTAGCGCGACGTCTAGGGTTTGTGGGTGAGCTGATCTACCTCTTGAATAGTAGATCAATTGTATCTTGATTTATTATTGAAGGAGAAATAAAAAAATCAACTCCATCTTTGTGTTCCTACGCTGTTCTTCTCTTTTATTAGCTGTTTTTACTTTCAAGATGCATCAAATTGATATCAGAACACTTTTTTTTGGGACCTATGACATCAAAGAAGGTGGAGGTGTTGGAAAGTAAGATGGAGCAAATCAAATCCGACGTGAAGAAGAGGTTTTCATCTATGGAAGGAAGGCTTTCTAATTGGGAAGACATGTTGAGGAAGTTGATCAAGATGCAATCGAAGGCTTTGCCAGCTCCTAGGGCTGGACCAAAGGGAAATGAACTTTTGGAGGAGATGATAATGAAGCTCTTGGAAATGCAATGCAAAAATCCACCGGTGGTTCTGATGGCTGACCCTAACCAAGATTTGACTTGGATTCTCTTGGCCTAATCGAAGGGAAAGGAGATCGGACAGGAGGAGTTCGACGAGGAGAGTTTCTTTCATAAAGGGCCACCTCCTAGGGTTCCGATAAGGGGCAGAATAGGGTTTTTGGATGGGGGGACAACAAGAAGAGAATTTTCTGGTGAAGGTGGTGGAGTGACCGACCACTATGGGAGGTCTTTTAGGCAAGGGGAGTGGACGATTGGAGGAGTGGGACGGGCCAAATCATGGGGATTGGTTCATGTGAGGCGGAGGGAATAAATGTGGGATTCTCACCCTCGATAAACGAGGGAAACATGGAGGGATCACGACAATCGTTGCACTGGAGGAGGAAGAAGCTATTGGGGCGGTGACGATCTTACGATGGAAATCCTAGGGTCATTGCATCTTAGTCTTGATGTGAAACAAGTTAAATATCTTTTAGCAAGAGTTGCACCTATTCATCCCGATTCTTAAGAATTTAGTTCGTATGATGGAAAAATGGATGTCGACCCATATATTTTACCTATACTTGGACAGCTCATGACTTAATGCAATCTAGAGATAGCAGAGAGCTCTTTTACAGCTTCCATTGAGATAATGTCCTTACTGAGTATGTTATCCATAAGTGTGCCGTACATTTTGTTCCTCTTAACAAAAAGCTGCCAATTCGTTCTCAACATCATGTGTTTATTGTTCAGAAGATACTTATCAAGTGGAAGGATTTGTCGGAGCACGAAGACACATGGGAACCTTGGGGGGGGAAGGGATAGCCAGGAAGGGGAAGCTGTTTAGGAAAGTTTCATAATTATGTTTATGCTATTTTGAAAGTGTTTAATTGTTTAGGAAGATTTTCTAAAATATGTTTAATTATTTAGAAAAGTTTCCTAAATTATGTTTAATTATTTAGAAATATTTCATAAATTATGTTTATGCTGATTAGGAAGATTCTAATTGTGTTATTGTATTTTATGGCTATTTAATGTGGAGTTTGTCTATGATTTAGGATATGATATTGTTTAGTTTATTTTCCTAGTGTTTGTGGTGAGTTCCTAGCGGCATTTAGGATTTGTGGGAGAGTTGATCTATCTTTTGAATAGTAGTAGAACAATTGTACATTATTTTATTATTGAAGGATAAATAAAAAAAATTAGCTCTATCTTTGTGTTCTTACATTGTTCTTCTCTTTTATTTGTTGTTTTTACTTTCAAGACGTATCAATTTTTCTCCTCTACTTTGAAGTGAGGGGGAATTGCTCCTAGGATTAACCAGATAGGCAAAACAAGCTAGTGGAATGAAACAATGGCAATTTTCTTATCCTTTGAAAGAATAAGAAATTTGCTAAGCTTTCATTTCTGAGGAGATAGATAAAATGGGTCAAGAAGAATGTGAGTTGTGCTTAATTCTCATGAGTTTAATTACCAAAATATTTGTTTTAAGTAGTTGCTTATGGTGCAATAGCCTAGCAAAAACATAGCAATATCAACTGCACGTCCTCAAGTCCCTTTGATCACACCTTATTGTAAGAGAAACTTAGTCGGTTTTTCTATTATTAGCTTGGGCGAATGATATGCTCGATTGAACACCGTATGCACTTTTCCAAAAAGCTCAAAAAAGAGACTTGAAGCATATGAACTTGGTGCATAAGCGAGCCGAGCCGGCTCAAACTTGACTTTTTGATATGCTTGCAAGTCAAACTTATCAAGCCATGAGCTCGAGCCAAGCTCAAATTATAACTTGTATATTAAACAAGCTCTAGTTCGAGCTTAATGCGGCTCGGCTCATTGTCTTGCAAGCTGACCCTACTTATTCCCGCTTCTTCCTTATCCACCATTCTATGCATAGAATTTAAAACCAACTATCACAAACTCCTTTATTCTTTAGAAGCCACTGGTCTCATTGATGCCTCTTGGTGAGCAACAAGCTCCGGTCATGACTTCCCTTTTGATGTAATGAGCTTGATCAAGTCTCGGCTTCCTGTTAGTCCTACCAATGCCTTATTTAGTGAGCCCCTGTCGTGACTTCCCCTTTGGTTCTATTGATGCCTTCTTTAATAAGCTAACATCATGATTTATCCTGTTGGTCTTTTCAATGCTTTCTCCACATGTAGGGAGTTTCTGTCAAATCTTCCCCGCTTTTAGGTCTTCAAGATCACGAGTTGAGCTTGAGCTTGGCATGTCGAGTTAGAGTTTAATGGGACTTGTGCTTAACTTGACTTGTTTGCACCCCCAACATGACCCCCAACATGACTTTGGTGCTTAAAATATGCTTGGCAAACAAGGGTTTTAAACCTATTCATGTTCCCAAGTCATGTTTCACACTGCGGCTCAAGCTGGACTCACCTCATTTACTCCCCTAGCATGAACACTTTTTGTCTGAACGAACAATTTTTCTGAACTTAGCCCTCAAAACCCTTCCTTTCTTTCTCATTCCTTCCTTTTCCCTCTCTTCTTCCCCGGCAAGTTAAAGGTGAAAATGGTTTTGCCAAATGGATCAAGATATTTTTGTTATTTAAGAAGCACTCATTCAGCTTAGTGTCGCGGTGCCCAAATTCCCAAAACTTTAGCGCCCATAGAGAATCCTCAAGATTCTTCTAGAATCTCCCAGGTCTCGACCCAATACCGCGATGTTGCTACACGGTGTTGCAACGCTCGGCCGAAACTTTTTTCTTTTTTTTGAGAGATCCATGCCGAGGCGTCACTAAGATTGGAGTTTGCAGAGAAAAATCCAAAAAATTGATCTGTTAACTCCTCAGACCTCAATCCTTGGTTATTTTTATTCCGTTAATACTTATAATTATTTGTATAATATTTTTGTGGAAATATTTATATGCGTTTAAGGCTGAATTTACTAAACATAGAACTTCAATGGATCAGTGAAAATGTTCTTCGTCAGTGTAATCATTGGCTACTTAGGCTTTATATCTTTCTTTTGCAGCTACCAGCTTATAAACGGCATAGTACTCTCAGAAGCAAGCTACTGTATGCTATTACTTCAAACACTGGATTTGAACTTTCCTAGAGAATCAGCCTAAGTACTATGTGAAATTGATTTCTTCGCTAATCCAAGTGTATCAAATATGTATTTTACGTATATTATTATGTATATGAATTAACTTTTTATAACTGGCGACATTATTCATTGTTAAATATGGAAAATTAAGCATATAATATAAGGAATGAAAATGCCTTTTCATTTATATAATTTTATATTTGCTTTTGATATTATTAATAGTCAAATGGATTTGCCTAAGAAATATGAACGGGCATAATTTTAAGCTGTTTAGAGTTTACCTGATTTTAGTGAAAAATAAATCAATTTGTATTTGAACATAAGTAATAGCTATTGAATACATATTTTTAATGATTTGAAATTAAGCATTAATGACTTCTTATTTTTTTGTTGTTTAAGAACTCTTCATAGTACTTCTCTTAGAATTTTATCATATACTTTGTCTAAAATAATAAATACAGTATGCAGATCCTTTTTATTCTCTTAATATTTCTTCACAAAGCCTCGCAATAGATGTATGACTTTCATAGTAGATCAATCTAAATTGATTTTGAGAAACATGAGTATGACGACACAACTTATGCTCTGTAACACACTCCTATAATTTTAAAGTATGGCACTATAGCTTAATTCCTCTTTAATTCACATAATCATATGCATAAGTTTTGTTCTTAAAAATAAGAATCAAAACACTCATTCTCTACTCTTTTGACATATTTTATCTATAAAAAATTAGTAAGCTAAAAATTCTATTAGCTTTTTCACCCTTCATTTTCTTTAAAATTTAACTTCCATTTTACTAATATACCAATAAAAATTTTTATTTTTAATTAGGATACTAATATAACTAAAATAAATTATATTCTCACAATCTTCATTAAAAAGTTTATATATATGTATATATAATGGACATTTAGATTGTTTAAAGCAAATTCACACAACACACACAGACTTGAATCTAAAACCTTTTGATTGAAAGCTTAAGCTCTCAACCAATAGACCAAGGCGAGCTGGATTAGTAAAATATCTCACCCATCTTTGTTGAATAATATCTTCTAAG